CCCCCCCCCCTTCTTCCTTCCCCCTTTTTTTCCCCCTTTTTTTTTTTTTTTTGCCTTTTTTTTTTTTTTCTTTTTTACATGCCAGAAAAATCTTTTATCATCTTTGAATATAAAAAAAAAAATAATAGCTCCAGGACTGGTAAAATTCATTCCTGGCAGTTACATAACAGAAATACACCCGCGGTGGCCCTGAGGTGTTAACCACCAGTGACATTTACCCCATAATTAGCTATCTCTACCACCACTGCATATGGAACATTTTTGTGGTCTCTGCAACGTCAGAATGTAAAGCCCTGTTAACTCTGCAGCAAAGCAGCCCAGGAGCAGATGAGGCTACCCAAAAAACTGCACCAACAGAGATCCCGATGCCTCCAACTAAAAAAAGGCAAACTCAGAGAAGGAAAAGAAAAAAACAAAAGCCAGCAACAAGAGAACTATCCAGCAAATCTTTTTTAAATGTTTGATTTTGTTGTCTCCTCAACGAAAGCATCCAGCTCCCATTTCTCAATGATGGGTCTGAGAGTTACATTACACACGTAGAGCCCATTACTCTTAGCTGGCTATTACCAAAGAGCAGCAAGAAAAGAACCAATGCACTTAAGGATGGAGTTATTAATGATTCAAGCCACCCAGCAGTGGCCTGAGCTCTTCAGGGTGGAACTCGTGACTGCAGACAAGTTGTTAAGCTATTAGTGCTTAGGAAACGTATCCTGAAATTGAATCAGAGCTCCTATCCTTTCAGGCAAATTTAGCATGAACGCAAGCTTTTCATTAAGTGTCTTTTAATAGAGCTAAAAAAAATGTTGCTTCATGTCATAAACGGTCACAGAATTAAATAACAAAAAGTTCAAATATTTACTAAATCTGCATTTGTTAAATAAATACACAAATAAGATCAAGGATATCCACAGTTACTGTTCTTAATTTCTCTTTCTGTCGTTTTATCGTACCAGGAAAAGAGAGGTCCACAGAAGCAAACAGACCAATTTATACTGTGACTAATGATGGGGAAACATCAGTAAATACAGGGTACATGAACAAAATTCTCTCTAGTATTGATTTTAATTTTATATTGCAATAATAGACTTAAATTACTCAAATTCTACCTTGTAATTGTGCAAATAATTGAGCTTTGGGCAAGACAACGAAATCCCCATTATTCTGTAATAATTGAATTCAACTTTAATTGCATTCAGAAATCCTGTGCGGTTGCCCCATTTGGCTGATAAAGCACTGAACTGGTCAAAACCCCAGGATTAAGCAAAAAAAAAAAAAAACACACCAAAAAAGGTGCCAGGTGGGGGGAAAGGTGTGGCTTGGAAACTCTGCAGCAATCCTGCCTTCCCTGGGGTTGCCAGGAGGTCTTGAAAGGAAGAGTTAGAGCCCCTGCACGGCTGCTTCAAAGCAGGCAATTCTGCATGTATTCTGGTATAAATACACTGGTTTAGAAACCAGGACGTCTCCTGAGCACGGCCACTCCTCTGAGGATGCAGACATTGCTGTAGCTTGTTGGGTAAATCGCATCAGCACAGGTTTCTGTGAGCACCTGAGGGCTCAGTGCAACACCCAACAGTTGGTGAAGAGCCCTGAGCAGCTCCAAACGGCAGCTCCAGGAGAACGGTCCTGCCCGAGCCGTGCGACAGCCCAGCAGGACCCGTTCAGCCAGTCCTCCAACAACAGGTTTCTGTGAGCACCTGAGGGCTCAGTGCAACACCCAACAGTTGGTGAAGAGCCCTGAGCAGCTCCAAACGGCAGCTCCAGGAGAACGGTCCTGCCCGAGCCGTGCGACAGCCCAGCAGGACCCGTTCAGCCAGTCCTCCAACACTCATCTGTTTAATTTTGAGATCATCTCTGCCTATTTATTTACATTTTGTTGCGCATTAACATGTTCCTGTCCCTGATGGGCTGCTGGGCAGGACCATCCTTTTGAGAAGACAGCAACAACGACACACCATATAGCGCTTCTCTTTTCTGTTGAGAAATATCACAGTCTTTGTACCACTTTCAAGCCTCCAACATCCACTCAGTACCTGGTTTCTTTATGATACTAGTCTCAAGCAGCTTCTTACATCCTTAGAGGTCTCTTAATATTTAACCTCAGGTCTCTTTCCCCAGTAAAACATTTTTAAGCCAGATCCTGCACCGCGTCCCCCAAGTGTGCTAGAAGGAAAAGGTCGAGGAAGCTTCCATGCCTGATTCTGCACAAATAAGACCATATTTCTACCTAAAGTTCAGGAAAGCACAAGGTGGGAAATGACTTACAGAACCCTTTAGTCTTCCCAAGCTTCGGAGAGATCCACTGACCGGGGTGCATGGAAAGGAGAGGCTCCTCCTGGGTGCGCTGCAGCTGACGCACGATTTTCATTTACAAAGCAGAAGTAAAATTCATGTGCTTTTGAAACCAATCCTTAGCCATCCCGTGCTCTACGCCAATCGCCAAAGTGAGCAAAAATATTCAAATAGCTTGCTAAAAAAGTGCTCTGGCATTTTAATGTATTAATACAATTTATCCCGGTATTTGACCAATTAATAGAAGTAGCAGAACAGTCTACCTGTATACAAAAAAGTAACAAAACAGTCTACCTAACCCCCCTAAAATTGATGTTTTTCAAATAAATGATAACACTAATACCCTTCTATCACCAACACAGCTGTAGGCAATAGAATAAGAGATATTTCTTGAATTGTTATAATCTTACCTGTTTGCATCCAAACTGGAAACCAGAACATTGCCCTTTTACTGCCAGCTGCACTTTTCAACCCAGCAGCACTGCAAAGGGGACATCTTTTTATCTTAGTCCCTCCGTCAGAGCGTATGGAGCAAACACGGCTGGTTTCCTTCTCTCTGTGCCATCTTCAGAGGCACAAACAAGCCAAAGTAAAGCACACCCCAATCTTGGCCTCCGCTCCGCGGGCAGTCTCCCACAGCCTTATCCCTAAATGCTCACAGCAGAGCAAGTGCCTTTGTCACCCTGTGTCACCCCAGCACGTTCCTCACCCTCAGCCCACACCATGCTACTATCTAATTTCCCCACTGAACGGCCTCCTTCAGCATTTACAGTCTCATTGGCTTTCTGAAGAAGTTACCTGGACCAAATAAACCCTTTGCACTCCTAATACGAGGGTCTCTAACACTTCACTGCTCTTAAGCACCATGTAATGTTTGAGATGACACAGGCGTTTTAAGTGCACGTGTCCTTTGGGGAAGAAATCCTGAGGAGAAATGTGTCACTAAGGGTAACATTTTTCTCATATTGTAGCGTATGATCTCCTGAAATCAGCAGAACCTCTTCTGGTAATTCAACACCTTCATCCCAGTACAGAAAATGGAAATGAGAGCATGAGGTCGGTTCTTGTGATTGTTGCAAAAACAAACCAGTCCTGAAGAGATACAACCCAGTAGATTGTAGATTGGGGCTTCCTCGACCCAGGTCCCAAGCTCCCACTCTTCCCAGTGCCCATTTCCCAGTCAGTGACCACACTAAGCCTCCTCACACTGAGCACAGAAACTTGGGTCCTCAAGGGGAAATTTCCCACCCACTGCAGTGGAAGCAAGATTTTCCCAAGAGCCATGAAAACAGAAACACTTGGAATTTACTGGATCCAGAGATAATAGAGCACATCACTGCCTTTTTCATTAACTTCATCCCAAACATAATGAGCTCGGGAACATTAATTGATCCTCATAATCACCACATACAGAACTAAAACCTGAAGGATTATTTGCATGTTAACTTTAAGCATACAAGAAATAGGAACACAAAAAGAGCCTTCTCAAATAATCTCAGTTTTAGTGGCAGAAATATCCTTATTTTCTAATCAGAGACTAAAATTACTGACACACCTAAAGAGCTTTCTTCTCCCACAAGAGCTGTACAGCACTTCTGATTTGACCAAGAAAATGAGGCTGCATTTTTAAGTACCAAACTGCCACCAGACCCATTCTTTCATAAGTTACATCTGTCAAGCAGAGATAGTCTCAATTGAGTCAGATTCTATGAGAGTAAATATTTAAATACAAACATTTTGAAAACCTTTAGCAAAAGAGAATGTATTTTTTAAATAGACAACTGCATCTAACTTGAAATAACCAAAAACCTCAAGGCATCGAGACACAGCGGAATCTAAACTCAAGTCCTTAAAATGATGAGTTGAAATAAGAATATCCACCTCTGAGATAAGAAATCGAGTGATGCTTTGCAAAGCTTCTTTGCCAGGCTTGTTAAAAACACCATTAATTTTGCTTTTCTTCAAAAGCAAATTGCACTGTAGCCCAAGTTTAACTCGCGACTCGTTTTTTGCTGGCTCGGAAAGTTACACGCACGTTTTACAAGCAAAAAGAAACCAACACGCCCTTTAATTCGTTAAAATCTAGAATACGGGCAGTAGAGAAAGCCGGCTCTAAAGCCCAACTTTATCATACGCCTTGTGCCGCTTCGGAAATTAAACAGAGAGGGGGAGAGAAGCCCCGTTCGTTTCCTGCTTAATTGCAACACGCGATTAGAGCGTGCGGCTCCGGGCTGTTCGCAACCCGCGCCGCCGCCACCGGGCACCGACCGGGAGGTGGAGCGGGGGGGGTCGGCGGGAGGACGGGAGGACACCGTCACCTGTATACAAAAAAGTAACAAAACAGTCTACCTAACCCCCCTAAAATTGATGTTTTTCAAATAAATGATAACACTAATACCCTTCTATCACCAACACAGCTGTAGGCAATAGAATAAGAGATATTTCTTGAATTGTTATAATCTTACCTGTTTGCATCCAAACTGGAAACCAGAACATTGCCCTTTTACTGCCAGCTGCACTTTTCAACCCAGCAGCACTGCAAAGGGGACATCTTTTTATCTTAGTCCCTCCAGCAGAGTGTACGGAGCAAACACGGCTTGTTTCCTTCTCTCTGTGCCATCTTCAGAGGCACAAACAAGCCAAAGTAAAGCACACCCCAATCTTGGCCTCCGCTCCGCGGGCAGTCTCCCACAGCCTTATCCCTAAATGCTCGCAGCAGAGCCAGTGCCTTTGTCACCCTGTGTCACCCCAGCACGTTCCTCACCCTCAGCCCACACCATGCTACTATCTAATTTCCCCACTGAACGGCCTCCTTCAGCATTTACAGTCTCATTGGCTTTCTGAAGAAGTTACCTGGACCAAATAAACCCTTTGCACTCCTAATACGAGGGTCTCTAACACTTCACTGCTCTTAAGCACCATGTAATGTTTGAAATGACACAGGCGTTTTAAGTGCACGTGTCCTTTGGGGAAGAAATCCTGATGAGAAATGTGTCACTAAGGGTAACATTTTTCTCATATTGTAGCGTATGATCTCCTGAAATCAGCAGAACCTCTTCTGGTAATTCAACACCTTCATCCCAGTACAGAAAATGGAAATGAGAGCATGAGGTCGGTTCTTGTGATTGTTGCAAAAACAAACCAGTCCTGAAGAGATACAACCCAGTAGATTGTAGATTGGGGCTTCCTCGACCCAGGTCCCAAGCTCCCACTCTTCCCAGTGCCCATTTCCCAGTCAGTGACCACACTAAGCCTCCTCACACTGAGCACAGAAACTTGGGTCCTCAAGGGGAAATTTCCCACCCACTGCAGTGGAAGCAAGATTTTCCCAAGAGCCATGAAAACAGAGACACTTGGAATTTACTGGATCCAGAGATAATAGAGCACATCACTGCCTTTTTCATTAACTTCATCCCAAACATAATGAGCTCGGGAACATTAATTGATCCTCATAATCACCACATACAGAACTAAAACCTGAAGGATTATTTGCATGTTAACTTTAAGCATACAAGAAATAGGAACACAAAAAGAGCCTTCTCAAATAATCTCAGTTTTAGTGGCAGAAATATCCTTATTTTCTAATCAGAGACTAAAATTACTGACACACCTAAAGAGCTTTCTTCTCCCACAAGAGCTGTACAGCACTTCTGATTTGACCAAGAAAATGAGGCTGCATTTTTAAGTACCAAACTGCCACCAGACCCATTCTTTCATAAGTTACATCTGTCAAGCAGAGATAGTCTCAATTGAGTCAGATTCTATGAGAGTAAATATTTAAATACAAACATTTTGAAAACCTTTAGCAAAAGAGAATGTATTTTTTAAATAGACAACTGCATCTAACTTGAAATAACCAAAAACCTCAAGGCATCGAGACACAGCGGAATCTAAACTCAAGTCCTTAAAATGATGAGTTGAAATAAGAATATCCACCTCTGACATAAGAAATCAAGTGATGCTTTGCAAAGCTTCTTTGCCAGGCTTGTTAAAAACACCATTAATTTTGCTTTTCTTCAAAAGCAAATTGCACTGTAGCCCAAGTTTAACTCGCGACTCGTTTTTTGCTGGCTCGGAAAGTTACACGCACGTTTTACAAGCAAAAAGAAACCAACACGCCCTTTAATTCGTTAAAATCTAGAATACGGGCAGTAGAGAAAGCCGGCTCTAAAGCCCAACTTTATCATACGCCTTGTGCCGCTTCGGAAATTAAACAGAGAGGGGGAGAGAAGCCCCGTTCGTTTCCTGCTTAATTGCAACACGCGATTAGAGCGTGCGGCGCCGGGGGCTGCAGGCTGTTCGGGGGGGGGGGGGGGGGGGGGGGGGTGGTCGGCGGGAGGACGGGAGGACACCGTAGTGTGTCCCCCCACCCCCGAACCCCGCGACGGGGAAAGAGCGGGGTCGTTTCTCACCTTCCATGCTCCGTCCGCGGCTCCCGGCTCCACCTGCCCGCCCGGGCCCGGGGACTGTCAGCGGAGCTCACCGGTCCCGGCCTCGCCTCCCCCGGGCACCGCCGCATCCGGCCCCGGCGCTCGGCGGGCGGAGAGCGGCGCCGGGCGGCCACCGGAGGAGCCGACCCGCTCCCGGTCCCGGCCATTTGCCCGCCTTGGAGCTCAGGGGTGGCCGCTCGGAGGGGACACCCGCGACAGCGGCCACCGAGGGGGCGTTTTGGGGGACTCACCCGGCCATTCTTCTAGGACAAACAGCACGGGACTGCGAAGAGCATCTCCAGCTCAGTCCGGGGTCGTGAAGGGCAGGTCCTGGTTGAGCCTCCTGGTCTTCTGTGACGAGGTGACCCTCTTGGTGGAGGAGGGAAAGGCTGTGGATGTTGTCTGCCTGCACTTTAGAACTTCAATACCATTTCCCACACCGTTCTCCTGGAGAAACTGGCTGCTCAAGGCTTGGACGGGTGGACACTTCGCTGGGTGGAAAACCCTCTGGATGGTCGGGCCCAGAGCACGGTGGTGAATGGAGATAAATCCAGCTGGTGGCTGTCACAAGTGATGTTCCCCGGTGCTTGGTACCAGGGCTGGGTCTGTTTAATGTCTTTACCGACGACCTGGACGAGGGGATGGAGTGCTCCCTCAGTAAATCTGCAGACGAGACCAAGTTGGGCAGTGGTGGTGCTGAAGGACATGCTTTAGAGGTGGACTTGGCAGTGCTGGGTTAATGGTTGGATGTGATGATCTTAAAGGTCTTTTCCAACCAGTGATTCTAGGATTCTACGGGAGATAAGCTCTTTCCCCACCACCAAAAGTGGCTCCACAAAGAAGCCACAGCAGGTCCTTAGGGAGGGATACTGTCAGGAGTGGGACAAGGGGAGCAGCTCCTTAGGGAGGGATACTGTCAGGAGTGGGACAAGGGGAGCAGCTCCAGGAGCAATAAAGGAACCTAGCAGGAGCAACCCTACCCTCAGGGCCGAGGCAGCTGGGTGATGGCATGGATCCCCAGCTGCCCAACCACCTTCTCAAGCTTGGTCAACTGTCCCCTCCAACTCACACCTCCACTTGTGAGCGTTACCCAACAAGCAGCGTGCCCCATCTTCCCCCAGCCCCCAGGTGGGAAGCCATCTGACCGCCCCTTCTGCGGAAGGGTGGCCAGCAAACAAATGGGCCCGTAACCCATTATGGCCATCAGTCAAAAATGCTGCTTGGCCTTTTAGGGAGCCCTTCATCTTTAAAGCGAGCACTGACACCCAAAAAATAGGGCGGGAAAGCTGTTTGTGATGACTGGGGTGAGGTCACTGAAGGGACAACAGCTATTCATACGGAGAGTTCAGCAGGGCGACAGGCAGCTACTTCGCGTTGGCAGGCATCTGACTCACTCTGCCTTACAGCCCCGAGCCCAGCAGCCCCAGCCTTTATTAGAACTGGGCTGGGGGGGGGGGGG